CCCGGGCGCCGCGGCCTGCTCTCCCACCCAAAGCCACAAGCCCGCACCGGGGTCGCGGTTACCTCGATGTTGGTTGCGTTCAGTTTCTCCTCCATAACTTGTTTCAGGATGACGAGGGAAGATTTGATGGCTTCTTTCAGCGTCATCGACTGCAAAAACAAATCGCTCATTAATGGCACTGTTGACGCTCAGGCAAGTACTTGTACGTGACCCCTCTGACTGGGAAAGCGTGCTGCTCTCCCTCCCGCGCTCCTCAAATCCTTTAAGCTGCCGCTGGCAGCAAGTTTAAAAGCTTATCAAGTTATCTACAGTATCAACAGGAGATCAAAGCGCGCTGTTCAGGCAGGACAGTGACAATTGCAAGGATGGCAACTTTCTGCTTCCGTATAACTTTTTACAAAGCTTAAGAACTGTTAATCTGGGCGTGTAAACCTTACTGCCGGGACCGGGACACGGGGGTCCGTTTCCCTTCGCCACTTATCAAGCGGTTCCCCCCCCCGACAAGCTCCAGTGGGAGCTCCGAAAAGCCGGGCTCCCTCTCGGCAGAAGCCTTCACGCTTTAATCACGTAAATCTCTGCGTGGGGCGAGGCGGGGGGGGGACGACACACACACTAGAGCCAGAGGGCCGCGCAACGTTGGAAGAGTGACGATGGCTGTGTTTGCAGGGAAGATCGTTAACAAGCCACGGAGCCCAGAACTTGGGACAATTCTGCTAGTGAACGAAGTAGGTTATCGAGTCTTCGGCTGGAAGTCTCCACAGCAATCAGCACCATCGACTGTGCTTTTCGTTACAGCGTTTGGTTTCTTACCACACAAAATGGGCAGCTCCCTCCTCCTGGAGGGAAGAAAGTTTCTATTTAATATATCAAATAGGACCAGTACTTGCAGCGCAAAAGCCATTAACTTCACCGGCTTAACAGATCTGGTGAAACGAAGCCGCTGGCTTTAGCTCCTTACGCTTCACGCTGCATCCATACTGAGCCCCGGCGCCGACCGGCAGCATTCGTATAGTTCTTTTATTTATGGAGTACTTCCTGACATGGTCTTAGTTATCACCCGCTAGAGGTGGAGGCCGGCATCTCAGACACCAGCCTCGTGTTCCAGCTGCAGCCTAGGGGGAAGCCACTGGTAGCGGCGCTCCTCGTCGCAGGGATCCTCGATCCGGCAGCTCAGCACTGACACCTAATCGCGGGATCAACCGCCAGGGACCGAGTTCCACCCCGACGAGCTCGCACACCTCCCCTCTAGCGCAAGAAGAGCCTTATGAATCGCCCGTCAGGAAGGGAACTAGCGGATCCTCGCAGGTCGTGAGGTACCTCTGTAACTCGCGAGATGTCAACCCCAATCCAGCCTTTTACCTTATGGTAAACCTCTTGCAGAGAGCTCTGGGCCCCTTCCGAGGCGGAGCCGATGGCTCTGGCATCGCACTGAACGAACGTCCCCGACGGGTCCATGTGAAACCTGCAGGAAGACGGGTGAGAGAACGAACGGCCGCCGCACCCCATCCCACGCCGTGGCACCCCAAGGGCTCTCCCACCAGACCCACGGCGTTCCCCAGAGCTCCCCGCACGGCTCGGAGCCGGGGAAGAACACGGGCTCCTCAGGAGCGACGGCTCGCCGGCCGACACGGGGCAGAGCTCGCAGCAGCCCCTCGCTGCATCCAGCCTCCTCCTCCTCCTCCTCCCTTACGCCCAGCGGCCTCGAGGGACTGCTGCGATCAGCGCAGCAGCAGGTCTCTCCTCCTGGCACGCAGAGGAGGAGACCGAGGTTTGAGGAGTGCCAAAGAGTCACCTACAGACCCACGCTGGGCTGGCAAGCTAGAACGAGAGCTATACGCTCCGGACACCACCCTCCACACTCGGAGCAGAATCGTTTTCCTTTTTATTCTCCCCCTTATTTTTACTTTTTTTTTTTTTTAAATAAAACCAGCAAGTTTTCACTACTGCTCCTGGGAGGGAGACCTTGTCGGGCTGGCTCTGCTGAGCCGTTCCCACCTCCGGCGGAGGCCGAGTGTTTGAAGCACGCGAGTTCAGGTTACAAGCACTCCGCCACCTCCCCGAGGAATGTTACAGCAGGCTGCACGTATTATGTTACCGGTGGCTCTGCTAGTCCTTTAGGGAAAGGTAAGAATAAAACACGGGACGAGAAGAGCTTTAACACCTCCCTCCTGCCCAGGAAACCGCATTAAAAAAAAAAGCAAGGATTGAGTGAAGACGCGGCGTTCTCTTCGACCCCGGACAAGCAGCCAAGTGCTCAGGCTGCTGCAACCCGTGCTTTGAAAGGAAGGGTTTAAAAGCATTAACAAACACATCAGGTACATAATGGGATAAACCCCAAGTGTTTGGCTTAAGTAAAATCCCAGAATCAAGTCATTAAAATGTCCTGGGAAGTTTCAGTAGAGGTTTTGTCTCCTCCCAGAGCTGGCCGGGATTAAGAGAGCCAAACTTACAGCTGGGGTCCCTTCTCATCAACTCCTCCAAAAAGCAGCGCGACGCCAAACGGACGAGACTGCAACAGAAAGGAGGCAAGAGGTTAGGCAAGGCCGAGGGCAAAGTCAGCGGGGAGCCAACAGCCCCTCCCCAGAGCACCCCCAGCTCCGCACCATCGCCCCTGGGTCTGCGTCCTCCTCCCCGAACTGCAGCGCCAGGTTGGACACGGCCTGCGTCACGCTCTCCACTGTCATGGTCTCGTTGTAGGTGAACCAGTGATTCTGCGGGGGGAAGGAAAAAAAAAAAATGAAGATTCCAATTATCACCTTGTTCCCAAAATAGGACAATCCTGGATCGTTCACGCGGCGGGCTGGAGCGATACCCGGCGTAGCCACAAAGACAACGTCCCTCCAGCCCCTCCGGGCAGGCTGCCGGCACCCGGGGCAACAGCCCGTTCAGCCCCAAGAGGGAAGCGCCAGGAAGAGAGCGGGAAGCGCAGAAGCAGCTGGGGAAGTCTGTGCAGGGATCCCCCAGAAACCTTGGGATACCTAGGCCTTGGGATGCCGACAGGGAAAACGCAAGGCCGGGGCACTTTATCCCAGTATCTGTTTCTGGAGCGATGGGGTTATCTCGTTCTCCAGAGGCAGGAGGAGTGCCGGCCGGCAGGAAAACCCCACAGAAAAAAAAAACATACTTTACTACAGCACAGGGATTTGTACCTGGGACCTCCGAGTACCTGAGGCACCGAGTAAATTTAAGGGGTCAAAAAATGTAACCAATATAACCGGTCTTTTGTCAAAACAAAGTTAGGCACACAGCCCCCACACATTCACCGGAGCACGTCTGCCAGTACCGAGACACCACCGGAGAACCTGCCGTAAGATTCCCACCAAATGTGCAATCCCAAAGAAGGAAAAAAAAAAAATAATACAGGGGAGATTCCACCTGTTTGTTCTGCAAAAGCCCCGTGAGGGGAGCTACGCACCCCACAAGCCTCCCACTCCACACCGGCTCCTTCGCTGTAACGATCTTCCCGTGCCAGAGGCTTCCGAGATGCCCCCGAGACTAGTGCTGCTGTTTTAAGAAGAGAAATGTCAAGTCTTACCTGGGTCTCCACTCTTGCTTTATCGATTAAAGTCTTTGCATCGGCTATTAAGCCGCTCATGGCGCACCCTGGAATCAGAGAGGGAAAACACGAGTCATTTCACCGATTCTTTGCGACGCGCTCTTGCCCCAGACTTCCCAAAGCCCACGGTGAAATACAAAAGGCCGCGGGGCGGAGCGGGTCCCCGCGCGGGAGCACGCAGCAGTGCCGCCCCGCAGCCTGCCGGAAAGGGAGGAGGATGGGATCAAAACGGATTTGCTCAAGAGCAAACGGATGGACACCCAGCTGAAGGGCAGGTACATAACATCCATCATCACCGGCGGCGGCCGGTCACGAGCGATGTTCCCCAGGGCTCAGTTTTGGGGCCGGTCTTGTTCAATATCTTTATCAATGGTCTGGACGAGGGGATCAAGCGC